TTGTGCCGATTAAAGTATGCTATAAAACATTATTGTGCTGGTCAAAACATGCCAACAAAATTGGGACGTATGGAGTATATAAGTGCATTACACAGGTTATAATTATCATAAAATTTCATTCTTATATAAAAACCTATAATCATTAAATTTAGGTTTTTTTTTTAAAAATGTTTAATGATCAGTAACTTTTGATATCAATATAATATAAAATTCAAATTAATTTTTTTTGAAAGGAAATTCAAGTGTTTGTTTCAATTTAAAAAAAATATTGTTAAATTAACTTTGTATTTCATAATTAGGTTAAGTAAAACCGTGTGTCGCACAGGACTTTAACTAGTAATTTAAACTAAAGCAACAGATAAAAGGAAACCAACCAATTGTATGATAATCATTATCATATAAAGTAAGACTAGATTATGCGGAGTATATATACACGTAAATTGAAACATTTCTTAGCATATAAAAGAGGCATTATTGTTATTTTTATGCCTATTTCGAGCTTAATATGGAATTTCAGAATCAAAATGACCCCCAAAACCTTAATCGAGCAATTTTCTCGGTTATATAATTATGACACGTAAATTGAGATTTTTTTGATACGTAAACGAGGTAATTTTGTTGTTTTTTTTTGCCAATTTCGAGCTCAATATGGAATCATAAGGGCCAAAATATCCCCCAAAACCTTATTTGGACAATTTGGAGCACACAAATTGGAAAGTTTTTTAAAAGGTGGAATGACAGGCCCCACTAATAATTTCCTTGACAAAAACCATTAGTTGGTAGCAAAATTTTTAAAAAAAATTTGTCTTTTAATTGTTGTAAAATAATTTATTTTTTTTGAAGGTACTTATTTTTAAAATATGCTTTTGAAGGTAGTAATTATCAAAATTTCCTTTAAATAATTTTGGGAAGAAAATTTTAAATGATCAAGAGGACACTATTTGTGGATTGAAATAGCTTTGTTTATGTTTATGTCTTAATATAAGTTTATGTCTTAAATAGTGTCATTAATCAAGGGTGATATTCAAATAGCTTTGTTTAACAAACAACTTTCAGTCGAAGGTGTAATAACACCCTACATATTTCCTTTGTTTTGAAATCCCATTTTTACCCTTTTTTAAAAGAGAAATTCTCAACAGTGACCCTTTTGATATTATGAAAGTATAAATCGAGACGAGTAAAACAAGATCTCACATGACTATATTTTTCTTAACCTATAAATCACCAAAACTAGTCAAAATGAGATACATGAATAGTGTAAAAGTCAAACTTTTGCAAGTAAAAAAAAAAACGGAGTAAGTATTATACAAAATGACTCTATTTAAGAATTTTATCCCACTTATAACCTTATTTACTTAAATAGTTAGTTAAAGTTAATCATGATTCATGATCAGGTTTATTTCAAAAATAAATAAAAAGTCTACCTACCCAACCAAGTGACCAACCCCACCATCGCCTCCATCTCACGAAAACCACCCTAGCCACACCCCAACCAAAAAAAACCCCCAGCCACTCCCATTGCCAGCACCCACCACCAAAACCGCCCCACTTTCGCCACCAACCCATTCATGAAAACCCACCCAGAACCACCCACCCCAACCCGAATTCCTGAAATACCCACCCTTACCCTCAAACACCTACCCTAATCCCGACCACCAACATCACTCTCCTTTATGGCAACTATGACCATATCCACCGTTATTGTAGCCACCATTCCAATCACCCTCCCTTAGAACTCTATCACCTTTTTTTTTCTAGAGCATCTAAACGTAGTGTTGCTATTGGAGGACCGTGCCGCTCTAATACCTTAATCAACCACTTCCCTTGCAATTCGATGGCACAAACATATTGCAATATTTGAATAAAGATAGGATCTCTAAGGAAAGATGGATTCTTGATTGAATACTATAATGAAAGATAACAATAGTGAGCATTTGTGAGGCTCACAAACTCGTCTAATATAATTAGGGGTGTCTATTCGGTTTTTGGTATGGATTTAAGCCAAATTCAATTTGATCCGAAATAATTTCGGTTTTAAAATTTTCAAATCCAATTCGATACGAATTCCTCACCAAATTCAATCAGATCCAATCTAAATTAAAATTTGGTTATTTAATTTGAATCCGATTCGAAAATCCAAATTAAAATATGTTAGAAAATTTTCACATCTAATGCGATTATAAAAGCAAAAATACAATTATATAAAGGAATTTTGGATTTTCAACAACACAAAAAAGCACGAATTGATTTTTAACACTACAAAAAAAAAAGTTTAGTTTAACACCACCAAAACTTTAAAAAATTGGCTTTTACTACCACTTAACAGATTCTTGGATGGAATCTGTTAATGGGGCCCACAATGCTCATGTGCCAACATATTATTGGTCCAAATTTAAAAACAAAAAAAAAACAAAAACCCTAAAACTAACCCAACCACCCCACCCCCACCGCTGGCCCCATCACCGGGAGAGCGCCGCCGCCACTACCTCACCGTGACACCCTAGTTCTAGCCCCAGGCCCCCAGCCATCGAAAACTTCGCCCCCTCCCTTTCCCCCTCCCCAAAATTGGCAGGCCCTCCTTAACAACCACCAAAACAGATACCTCCTAAAAAAAAGCCACCAAAAAGGCCGCTAGCGGTCAAAATCGGCCGGTTTAGGGTCGAAGTGATTGATTTCAACCTTGAACTAGTCGATTTTGATCGTTAGTAATGGTTGTTGTTGGTCGTTTTTGGGTGGTTTGAAAAATGACCGCCCATTTTTGGTGGTTGTTAGGGAGGGGCTGCGGTTTTGAGGAGAGAGAAAGGGAGGAGGAGGAGTTTCCGGTGGTTGGGCTGGGAACGAGGGTGTTATGGTTGGGTAGTACGTGGTGGCGGTGCACAGCCGGCGGTAGGGGTGGGGTGGCTAGGTTAGTTTTAGGGTTTTGGTTTTTTTTTTTGAATTTTTAATTTTTTAAAAAAACTAATAATATGGCGACACGTGACATAATGGACCCCACTTAACGTATTTTTGGACAAAAACTATTAAGCGGTGGTAAAATAAAATTTTATTAAGTGGTGGTAAAATAAAATTTTATAAATTTTCGGCGGTGTTAAAATAATTTTTTTTTGGTAGTGTTAAAACCATTTTCGTGCTTTTTTTGCGGTGTTAAAAATCAAAATTTCCTTATTTAAAAATTCATTTTTTGAAAACATAGTTGTGGTATTGAAAACATAGTTTTACATGATTAATATCAATGTAATTATAGACATACATTGACATGATTAATATTAACAATCTTTATTTGTAATATCACTGTTTCATATTTTGGTTTTTTTTGGATCCAAACAAGGTCAATATGATTCGATCCGATAATCCAAATTTTAAGGGAAAAAAAAAACAATCTAACCCCGATTCGATTTAAAGTTAGGATCCAATCCAATGTAACAATTCTGTTTGGATTTGATTGAATTTCGGTTTTAAACCTAATAAGGGACACCCCTAAGTATAATCTAATTAGGTTACACTTCTCATAATCTTTCATTCTTTCTTATTGCTATTTATCACATCAATATCTAGGACGCTACACCTGCTCTCGATCTCATATATTGTTTTGTCCTCTTCTATCTTCTGTCTTCTTATGCCAACTTAGGTGTTGTTTGGTTGACATGGGAAATGAGTTCCCATAGGAAATTATATATCATGGGAAGTAACTTCCCTTGTCCATTTCCTTGAAATTAACTTAAGTTTGTTTGGTTGATAATATAGGAACTTTGATTTCCTATGAATTTATTTCCTATGTTTTATTAGTTAACTTGATAATTTTTTTATTGGTTTTTTCACCGTATACCACTGAGTTATTTCAAAATTCACCATATACCACACAAAATTTTCTAATACACCAAATATCACTCAGTTAATGTATATTAACACAGAATGCCTTTTTTTGTTAACTGTTGTTAGTCTGCCGTTAACGCCGTTAGTAATTAAGGTTAATTGTGCCACGTGGCTGTCACTTAATGGCTGTCACTTATTAATATTAACTAACTTAAGAAAAAAAATAATACACCACCAACGTCCCCAACCCAGCCCCGACCCACACCCTCAGCTGGCTGGTGCCTGGTCCACTTCCCGGCAGGCCGGCGACCATCCCCCTCCCCCGTCAGCGACAACCCCGACCCGGCCACCACCTTAGCCAAATTCCCCAATCACCACCTTAGCCCAATTCCCCACTCCTAGCCTAAAACCCAGCCACCACCCCGAAATTCCTTCGCCGGCAGCCCCTGTTCCTCTTCCCCTCCCTTTTCCGACCACCCTCGCCCCCTCCTTTCCCAACCAATTTCTTCAGCATCGAAAAATCACAAGCGAAGGGTTTGGGGTGATAGAGAGGGAATAAGGGGTGTAGTGGTGGGGACTTCAGCCGATTTCAAGGGTTCGTAGGTGGGGGATGGACGGAAAGGGACGGGATAGGGGTTACTGCCATGGATTGTTGTCTATGCTCTCAAGAGCAGCAACAAACTCGGGGAAGAAAAACCAGAAGGGGAGTACAGGTGGGGGATGGTTTTCGAGGAAGGGGAGTAGGACTGAGATGGTCGCCGGCGTTGGGGTCGAGAATGTCGCCGGCGGGGATATCGAAAATTGGGGAATCGGGGAAGCTTCAGGCAGGGAGGGGTTACAGGTGGGGGATGGTTTTCGGGGAAGGGGAGTAGGAGTGGGATGGTCGCCAGCGGGGGGGATGGTCGCCGGCCAGCTAGTCTGGGATGGGGGTTGGGGTTGGGCTGGGGGCGGCAGTGGCTTGTGTTGGTGGTGTTTAATTTTTATTTTATTTTTAAAAATAATTTTTCTAAATTTAATTAATTAAATAAATAATATTAATTAGAACCAATTACAAGCTGCCACGCGGCATAATTAACGTTAATGACTAACTGAGTTAACGGAAATGGCATGTTGTGACATTTATGTTAAACTCAGTGGTATTTGGTGTATTAGAAAATTTTGTGTGGTATATGGTGAATTACGAAATAACTCAGTGGTATATGGTGAAAAATCTGTTTTTTTTATTTAAGTTAACAAATTTGGAGAGAGAAAGAAAGAGATTAAATTATTAGTGATAATAATGCAAGTAGGCCCTACAATAATCATAGGAATTGTGACTTACCAAGGGGGGGGGGGGGGGAGGCTTGGTAAGTTATTTCCCATGTTTCACGGGAAGTTTCACTTCCCTTGGAATTTTCATTTATCCCACTTTGATAAATTTGTGTCAACCAAACAACACATGATTTTTTCATTTCCTAGGAAATAGAATTTCCCATGCTATTTACCTCCAACCAAACAACACCTTAGTAACTAGACTCACCATAATTCCTTCTCCACCACCTGATTGTTTGCTTTAGGGCCTTGTATTTGCATTGTGAACTTGATATATAGGTGGGCTGCTCTAATTCATTAATTACACCTTCATGATTTTGTTATGAGTTAGTCCCTATCAGGCCTGTAGAACATCATGTGCAAGGTGCCCTCTTGCACAAGGGCCCCAATTTTAAAGGGCCCATTTTTTTTTCCTATTCTATTTTAAAAAAAAAGTAAAGTCTCCTTGTTTATACGCCAAGCAAGCAACAAATCAATAATCAAGACTATCACGGCATCACGCTAATTTTTTCCTCATTATTTTCCCTCTTTATTCAAGCTTCCATTTTAATTTCTACAATTTTTCAAATTCCTCCATCAATTCAAATTAGTATTATCATAATTACATCAATCAATTCCATGGAAAATTGTATTGCCTATTTCTCCATTCAAGGTCTTCAATGGAAAAAAAATTATACTAAGTCAAATTCAAACTATTTTTCTTCCATACCAATGGCAATGAGCAATTAATTTCGATTTTTCATAATTATTCTTATCAAACGGGTAATTATTTTCCCGTATATATATTTGGGTTATCTTCCATCATTCTTCGATCATCTTCATCTAATTCCCAATTGATACACAATCAAACAAAAACAAAAACGAATTGAAGCATTTTTTTTTTTCATTTTTTTTTAAGGGGAACAAATTAAAGCAATTGAAGCAATTAATTTCTGTTCTTTGCCCATCAAATCGATTAAAGGTAAAATTTTGGTTTCTTTTAATTTTTTCCGATTTTGATAATGTTAATTGAAGCAATTTTTAATTCTACGGGTCTGTATATATTGTATGCATGCAGTATGTTGATCATTCCTATATTATTTCACAACTGGCTGAATTTTATTAATTTTGCAACTTGTATGTTAGAATCTTAATTGGCCTTTGGGTTAGAATGTTAGATTGTTTAAATCTTTTATTGTTTGTACAGACGTGTCGTTTACCGTATAAAATTAAATATTTATTCACCTAACTTAACCTTCAAAAATATTAACAACTGTTCAAAAATATTAACAACTAGTAAAAGGGTAAGCAAGGGTCGATCCCATGAGGAGACTTTTAACTCTTAAATCGAAGATTAACTAAATTACAATATATTACGGAAATTTACATACTATACATTTATTCACATATGTACATAAAATAGGGGGTTTGTTTAAGATAATACTAATAAAACTAATACGGAACTAAACTAATAAACTACTATTAACGACACAACTAACCATTCCATTGAATAACTCTTACTTGATTTAGTTTAACATACAATATACCTTGAGTATAACTAATTATAATTACTAGACTAACTGTAGAGCCTAAGATAACAAAGACTCTCTATATCCCTTAATTTTAGTCAATTACGAACTAAGCCAAATTGACTCTAAACCATTCTAACTTATACAAATATGATCGCGACTCATATAATTTAGAGGTGGAAGCATTATAAACTAGGAGACATCATTAGTCCTAATTATTCTAATCACATAAATGCCTAAAATAATTAGATTGAACTTACTCTCTAATCTAAATAAAACCACAATCGCAGATCTCATATAAATTAGGTGTCACTTGATTATATGAATTAAACTAAGCCAAACCATATAGATAACAATAATTAACAACCATACACACACTAGTAACATGTATAATCGCAATTTAATCAATGAATTACAAGAAAGTTCAAATAATAATTAAACAAAACTGAAAAAAAAATGACTTAAACTAAAATCAGATGTAATACCAATAATCCCATCAAGTTCTTCATCAAATTATCAAAATAATTCAAACAAGAAGTAATATGAACAATAGAGTTAAAAAGAAGACTTATGAATTATACTCCCAAGAACTGTCGAATAAACCCGGCTTCGACCCCGAATTCACCGTCGTTCTTGTTCTACCTTGGATTCGAGACTAAGCTTCCCTACAATGGCTATCTTCTCTTCACCAATTGCCCAATTAACGAACTCACTCAAATTACTTTGTAGTTGGTATATTTCGATTGGGTTGTGTGTGCTCCGTATGGGATAATTGGGGGTTTTTATACCGAAAAACGACCTCAAAACTTTGTATATGGGAGGATAAATTCTTGAAATTGGATAAAATTTCATCTTCTCCTTGAATTTCGGAAGAAAGAGATTGAAGATAAACATATGGGATATGGTGGTTTTGAGCTTTGGTTTTCACGCAAAACCAGTTCTTATCTTCTTCTTTTCTTTTCTTTGCTTTTCTTTTTATTTTCTTTTTATTTGATGATAAAGGCACGTGATGCTTTTGTTGCTTGAAGTAGTAAAATGGACTAACTTCTCCTTATTTGATCAAATCCACTTTCTTTTCCTCTAGCTTTCCTATCAAAAACACACAACAAAATATTAAGTACCAATTATTATAAAAATAGCTATAAAATAAAATACTAGCATAAACTAAAAACTAAAATTATTAAAGTGGATAATTTCGTAAAATAACTAATATAAAGCGGCCATTGGACTAATACTAGGGACTAAAAATAGATTATATTATGCACTTATCAACGGGCCTAGTGTAAATGTAATCATTAACTCATTGTATAATTGACACTATTACTATAATTATGATGTTATTATTAATTTATTATACTATAGCAATACTAGCAAATATAATCTTTTCATCTTTTGCACATGGTTCGATTTCTGTGATTAATTATCAAAGATATAATATTACTGTGTATTAGATATATTATTTCGATGTTAATTATATAATAATTGATGAATTGTACACACTATTTATAGATTTTAACATAAATCACTAGTAGAAAAAATGACAAAGGCACCCCACCTTTGGCACCGATTTTTGAAAAACGGTGGTTAAAAAAACGGGCGGGATTGGAAAACAAGCTTTTGGCACCGGTTCCAGCCAAATTGGTGGCAAATTATCTTTTTGGCACCGGTTCAAACCAGTGCCAAATAAAAAAGATATGAACCGGTGCTAAATAAAAAAGATTATTTTTTTTAAAAAAAAGGGGAGAAAGGGATTTGGCACCAGTTCGGATCAAACCGGTGCCCATTTAAAAAAAAAAACCCGCTCGTATTTCTTCTTCTTCTTTTCTTTCCCCCTGCTTTTCATTTTCGGTTTTCCGTAACTCTCGTTTTTGCCATTCTCTTAGCTTCGACCACCTTTGAAGTTCCACCTTTCTCCATATCTCTCCTCCATTACGCGTGCTCGTAGTTCTCCATTGAAGCGCATTCTGAGATTTGTCCATATCACTCCTCCACTACGCGTACTGTTAATTCTCCATTGAAGCGGATTCGAGCTTTGTCACCTCCATTGAAGCAGCTTCGAGGTTAAAATTTGTTTTTGTCCTTTTTAGATTATCGATTTTAGTTTTCGCAATCTAGGGTTTGTCGTTGATTTGATTTTCGAACTTAGGGTTAGTTCTTGTAAACTAGGGTTAGTTTACTACCGCAACCCTCTTAATTTTGATTTGGGTTTTTTGGGTTTGGGTTTCACTTTGGGGTTTTTCTGGATTTGACTTTCTTTTAGGTCGTCAATGGGAGGCAGTTTCGTGGGGGGTTTAGGGGTTTCGTGGGTGGTCAGGGTGGCTGCGGTGGTCGATTTTGACAACATTTAATTGTCAGTATTTCTTAAAATTATGTAGATCTGTGTTTCTGAGCTTTCAAATTACTGATGTGCAGTGGAGCGAACCTGGGTATGGGATTTAACCCGGGTATTGTGGCGATGCGAAGGTTGGGTATGGTGATGAGTTTGATGATGATGAGGTAAAGGATGTCTCTTGATAATTTTTCTGCATTTTCATGATAATGTGACCCTAATTATATATACCGTACAAAGTATTATCCGAGCTCAAATTTATCAAGTGTTTGTTGATGGAGGATTGTGTGTTGCCTGTTGATAAATGGTTGCTAGCAACTGTGATCTGTTGCTGGCCAGGGGATGTATGATTGTGATATGTTGTTGTTGCTATTGATATTGGTGTGTGGCCTGAGTTTCTTGGATTATGTGATATTACTCTGTGGCCTTAGATTGTAATTCATTTTGTGAATTCTTTATGTTGATTGTTTGAATGGTTGTGAGGTTGTGTTTGTTGTTGGTTTAGTTTGTTTAGTTCAATTAGTCTTCTTGTTTAGTTTGTTATTGGTTTCGATTGATCTACTTTGCCTGCTCAAGTGTTATTGATTTGTTTCTGCTTTGAATGCGCTAAAATTTATTGTTGTGGCTGAATTGAAAGATTAATAGCTTGGTTGTTGTCTAGTTGATGGGTAGTATATATGAGTGTGGACTGGTGTGAAGCTGCTTCTAAGTGTGCTATACCTTAGTAAAACTTTGTGGATTGATTTGCTGGCCAGGGGATGTATGATTGTGATATGTTGTTGTTGCTATTGATGTTGGTGTGTGGCATGAGTTTCTTGGATTATGTCCCTTTTTAATGTCCCTTGATTGCTATTGATGTTGATGTTGGTGTGTGGCCTGAGTTTCTTGGGTAAGTGATGGCGTTGGAAGAAAAAAAAAGAAGAGGCGAAAATGGCGGCGTCGGGAGGTAGTGGTGGTGTTGGGAGTTTGTCCAGCGGCGATCGAGAAATACTTGCGACGGTGAACATGGTTGCTTCAAGTTTGTCATTGATTGGATCTAGCTTCATTGTCCTTTGTTACATTATTTTCAAGGACCTTCGCAAATTCTCTCTCAAGCTCGTCTTTTATCTCGCTCTCTCTGTAACTCTCTTTCTCTCTCCTACCAATCATTCTATCACTTTCTTCTTCTTCCTTTCTTTTTTAATTAACAATCACTGCTATGTATCTCTCTATTGCATTTTTAGGTCATTTTTACAGTTGGATTGCAAACTTCAATATTCATTTTTAAGTATATTTGGATTACATTGTAATTTGGTTTTGATTGCAGGACATGCTTTGCAATTTTTTCAATATTATTGGGTATGTTTGTATGTATGTTATGTCCAATTGTTCATCGCATCATTCATTATAATGCTCAATCATTTACTCAATTCTATGATTAGTTGTGATGTCTATATACATACACAGTGTTAATTACAGTGTTTCCCATTCTATGTAGAGATCCATCTACAGGGTTCTTCTATTATGCTCAGGGTTATAACACTCATTTCTTCTACGTCACGTCCTTTTTATGTCTATCTTTTGTTGTCATGCCCTGTCCACTTCTACATTGTCATCATTCTCTTCATTTCATGACCTTAGTCTGTTCTTCTTATCTCGTTTTCTTACAGGCATGGCAGCGAGTCATGCTGCTTATCTTTTTTTTCCTCATCTTTCTGGTTTAAATTTATGTTTTTCATGATGCACTAGTCAGCATTCAACTGAAATCTCAAGTGTTTTTTTTTTTAGTTTTTTAAAGTGTAATATTACAAGTTATTGAAGAGAATATATGTGTTTTATGTATATTATGATTATATATAAGTATTTGGTACAATTTAAGTGAAAAAAATGCAAAAAAAAAAAAATATATATATATATATTTTTTGGGCATTTTTGGCACCGATTTTGGAAAAGAACCGGTGCTAAAAGTTTTTTTTAAAAAAAAAATTTTTGGGGACTTTTGGCGCTGGTTCTAAGCTAAGTCAAAACCGGTGCCTATTGTATTGAAATAAAAAAAAAAGCGCGCCATGGGTAATTGGCACTGGTTAACCGGTGCCAAAGAGTGTATTTAGCACCGGCTAACAGGTGCCAAATCTTTAAATAGCCACCGGTTTTGAACCGGTGCCAAATCTTCAGAGATTTGACATCCCTCAAATACTCAACGGTTCAAAACCGGTGCCCATAGGGTGGTTTGAACCGGGGCCTATTTATGTTTTTTCGCCTAGTGAATTGATCTGTTTATGCTACTCTGTATCTAAACAATATATTTTTATTTTTATTTATTTACTTTTTTTTTTGTGAAGGTCGAAATCTTCTGAACAATTGAGAATCAACGTTATCAAGCAATTCGTCTAATTGATTGGTATAAACCTCCTGCTTTCCAGGTTTTTCAATCCATATATATGATACTTTAATTTTGTTGAGATTGTGCCTCCTAGAAAGTATGGATCTGGATCTGAAAAGCATAATAAAAAGAGAAAATTAGAAGTGTTAATTAATTCTCAAGAAGGTGCTCTTGATAAATTCGTTATAAAAGAACCTCAAGTTCCTCTTGTTGAGCCCATTGATGATGTCCCTATTAAGAATGATAATGTTGATGTTGATGATATTAATAAATGTTAATGTTGATCTTGTTAGTGATATGCCTATTGCGGAGAATGTTGATGATGTGGATAATATATTTGATTATGTGCCTAGTGCTAATTGCAATGTTGATGATGTGCCTATTGAGAATGATAATAATGCTGAAAAAATTGATGATATGCCTTCTGATAATGACAATGTTGATCAATATGAAACTAGTTATACTCCTAATATATATGATCCAAGAGTTTGGGATGGTCTTGATTTTAAAATGATTGATTTATTAGTGAAAAAGGGTCCTAATAGAGATAATTCTATTGTGAAAGGTCTTAAAGATAAATTTTCAAGACGATTTACGACTAACTTGTATACTAGAGTTTTATCAAACAATGAGAAACGTGATAGGGATTGGCTTGTTTATTCCAAAGAGCTTGATAGAGTCTACTGTTTTTGCTGTAAAATATTTTAAAAAAGGGATTGGTAGAGGACAATTGACAAATGAAGGATTTTGAGATTGGGGGCATGTAGGCTTTAGACTTAAAGAACATGAGACAAGCATAGATCGATCATGTTAAGAATATGACTACTTGGTATGAGTTGCAAAGAATTGTTTCAATGTCAAATTTCTTGCCAAGCATAATCTAGCCTTTCGTGGTTCAAATGGGAGACTATACCAAAAAAGTAATGGCAATTGTTTGGGTTTGATTGAAATGTTGGTTGAGTTTGACCCAATTACTCAAGAACATGTCAAGCGTATTGCTAATAATGATATTCAATTTCATTATTTAGATCATACAATTCAAAACGAGTTAATACTTTTGCTTGGTTCTGCAATAAATGAAATCATTAGAAAAATAAAGCAAGCAAAATATTTTTCGGTAATTCTTTATTGTACTCCCGATGTTAGCCATCAAGAGAAAATGTCACATATTAAGATATGTGAATGTCTCTACTTATGATATTTGCATTGAGGAATCTTTCTTAAGATTTTTGAATGTAAATAATACAACTGGCCAAGGGATTGTTGATGTTTTTCAAAACAAATTGAAAAATCTTGATCTTGATATAATGGATGTGCAAGGAAAAGGCTATGATAATGGATCTGATCTAATATGAAAGGAAAACATCAAGGAGTTCAAAAGAAATTTTTGGATTTAAATTCTATTGCTTTTTTTTTAAATGCAATGCAATGATCATATGCAAGGAAGTAAATGCTCATATTTTTGAAATGGAAAAGGTAATTTAAACACACACTACTACAAAGTTGGGATTAAGTAACACCCATTAGTAACACTTTAAAAATTTTATGATTGTTTGATTTATAGGTAACACTTTGGAACATTGTGGTATTAAGTAACATTTTTCGGTAACACTTTTATGTAACACTTTATGGTAACACTTTGATATCAGGTAGCATTTGGTTGTAACATTAATTTTATTTTATTTATTTATTTATGTTTTTGAAGAAAAACACTTAATTTGATATTCTCAATCTTTTTTTGGTTATTTTTATTAAAATAAACCCTCAGTCACAACCTCACAACTTTCTTCCTCACTCATATTTCTTCGTCCCTCAAGCTTTCACTGTCTCTTCCACCGCTACCCCCTTCTCGCTCTCGGTGCTCCACTGTAGCCCCCGTCCAGCGCAACCTGCCTCCGTCGTAACAGCCCGTGCCAGCGATTGCCACCTCTAGGCCTCCATCCTCGGTGGCTTCCACCTTTAAGTTAGGGTTAGGGTTAGGTCAGGTTTCCATTATCAACAAGAATTTGAGCTAGTTAAAGTTAGGGTTTCAATTCCACCTTTCAAATCTTGTTGATAATTTCTTAATTTGATGTTGAATTTCCCTATTAAAATGTTTAATTTCACTATTTTCATACTGAAATTTGCATGCATCTGAATTGGTCGAAGTATTTAGATGAGATTGGGGTTTTTGTTTTTTCTTCTTTTCGATTGTTGCGGATTTTTTTTTACCTTGTAATTTGGTCTTTGTTGACTAATCTGTCTAATTTTGTAATACCCCATATTTTTATACGTATTTTGATTTAAATAAGTATTTCCTAAAGTATTTAAATAATTCGAAATGAATTATTTATGGTGTTTTTATTTAATTTAAAAAGAATTATTTTAATTAAAAGTTTATTTTTAACTATTTAATAATCTTGAAAATATTTTATTTAATGATTTAAAAATATTGGGGCATATTATTTTATTAAAAGATAAATTTTAAAGTCATTAATATTTATGGAAAGTCAAAATACAAGTTTGACTAGGAAAGGGATCATTAAGGGTAGTAAGGGATTTTAAGTAGGAGGGATTGAGAGGGGGTATAAATACCCATCATATTCCTAAGGTGGAGTGCACCCAAAGGTAAACTCTCTCTCTCCTCTTATTTTCTTTTCTCCTTAATTTTCCCCCTCCCCTTAATTTTAATTTATTTGTAATCACCACCCACACACCACCATACGTCGCCAGCCACCACCATACGTCGCCAGCCACCACCACACGCTGTCGGACCATCGGCGCAGCCACCAGCAGGCGCCGGTGACAGCAGCGACACCACCAGCAGGCGCGGCAGCAGCCGGCTATGGTGTCGGTGCTGCACTTTTCCGAAAAAAAAAACATCTTTTGATTTTTTTTAATTAAATCTACCCTAATTTAATTATTGTTTTGAGTTTTGTGATGATTTTAGGATGTTTAATAATAAGTATTTTTGTATATCAATTTTTAGATTTAATCCTAAATTAAAAATCCCCAAATTGAAAACCCTAGGTTTCTAAATTAATGTACATTGTTGGAATTTAATTGTAGGTGATTTAAATTTTTGAAATAGGTGTTTTAAAACATAATTACAACAATTTAAGATGTTATAATAATGCTAGAATTTTTTTCATATAAGCTATAACTAAGTTTCTTGAAAGGATTTTTAATTACCCATTAATTGGGAATAAAAGTAAGGGTTTTAAATTAAATTTTAGATTATTTTAGAGGGTTTATGAGTGATTTAAAGAGAGTATATATTGCTGAAAATTTGTGTGAAAGAGGTATTAATACTCCTTTGTAATTTTGGTTTGTAGGAGATTTCCAAGTGAGTGATTTTATTTAGTCGTGGCGATTTTGAGATCATATTCAAGGTACGTTCGCGTACTTGGTAATGTTTAAGTGTATAGAAGCATGCTAGGCTTTGTTTAATTATTCCAAGTAGTATCATGATAGGTGCTGATTGGAATTTGTTGGTTGGATTGGTGTTGGCGAATAATTTGTGATGTGTGAATTAATTGTAGTGAATTGTTGATTGTAATTAATTATATTGGCATGTTGGATATGAACCACACTTTTATTATGGCATGTTAGAAAGCATGTTTAATTAAACTAAGTGTTTGATTTGGTTTGGAATATTAAAAAGGAATTTTATTATGGTTCATATACTTTTTATTGATGCTATAAGCATGACGAAGGAGCTATTTAAGTGTCTATGTACACGAGGATTAAATTATATTTTGGTGCCCAAGTGCGCTTAAGGTGTTTCTAACACCAAGGGATAGGATTTGTGGCGCATTATGCGTTTAAGGTGTCTTTGACACCGAGGTAGATTAAAAAGGGTTCAACTATAAATTTATGTGGTCACTAATTATTCAAGAATTTAAATTGGTATGTTTGAATGCTTGAATAAATTATAGTGTTTGATTTGTGGTTGTGTTTGAGAATCATCACCAAGTCTAATAATTTGTAAATAACGTAAAGTGAAAGAGATTACGCACCTAAACTCTTGGAACGTATATACCTTGAGTATGAACATATGGGGGGAGTTATGCGACTTTATATTTGACCATAACTTCTACTGGAGTACAGGACGCTGTATTTTCCTTTTTATTATGCGCAGGAATTCCGCCACTTACGAGTGGTTCTTTTATACTTTCACGATTAGCTCTCGTGTTAGTACCCCTTTATGGGGGCAGGTTAGGGGGAAACCCGTTCGATGCGCAATCAAGCTAAATAATTGGACTAGTTATTGTCTAGTTAAGTGTTGAGTGTCTTGTGTGCTTGTAAACAGGTGCAACACGGTTAGTTGAGTGATGATAGGATGAAAGCATGTTAGTGTGTTTTTATTAGGCTTATGTACTCAGCTTTGCTGATTGTGTGTTTGTATGTTTGTTTGGCCTTGTCTTTGCTTTGGCCCTACGACGACCCATTTCTAATGGCGAGTAGTGGGGACAGGTAGAGAGAAGCTTTCCAGGTGATGAAGCATATTCATGAAGGGCATGAGTGAAAAGCGAATCATGCTTAGTTCTCATAGGAATGTGATATGTTTTATTTGCTTTAAATATTATTTAATTATATTGATTATGAGACTAACGCAAAGGTTTTCAGTATGGTTTGGATTTAAGGGCCTGCGATGGTTCCAAGTTGTAGGTTGACTTTGTTTGACTTTACTTTCGTTTGGTTTGACCTTTTTTTTAGTTGACTTGTTAAAAATGGTTTTAAAGTTAGTCTTCCGTTGTGTGAGTCTTTGATAATTGTCTTAGCCGTTTTCACGGTGGCGGTTAGATTTTCCTTCTTCGTATTTTAAAAGGGCAAAATTTGGTATTTTAAGAAAAGGAATTTCTAGGGTGTTACAAAGTGGTATCTGGGAGTTTAGGTTGAGGATTTTATTACCACTAAAGCTAAAAACGTGTTTTTAAAGTATTTCGTTTTAAACTTGGCCAAGTGTTTATTTAATTAAGTTATTTTAAAAACGAGTTATTTTAACTGATTTTAATTTTTGGAAACTAGAAAATTTATTTATTTTTTCTTAAGTGGTCCGAAACTTTTTTTTATATATTTTGAAAATTCTGAAATTTTTTTAAGGGGGCATCTGAATTTTTTTTTTAATTTTTTTTAAGGGTGTCCGAATATTTTTTTTTAATTGGCCGAATATTTTAGGCTTTTCACGGAAATTATTTCCGAAAATTAATTTTAAAACTAAGGAGTCAAAATATTTTTAGTTTGTTCATTTTGCAGGAAAGCAAGGATTGAGGTAAGTATTATGTGTTAAAAGCTTTTAAAAGCATGTTGGTGA